AGTTTGCGTAAAAACAGACAGGAGGCAGACGGACAGACGTACATATTTCGATTCAGATCGTTATGCTAGTCAAAAATATATATGTTTTATGGAGTCTGAGGTGTCTCCTTCACTGCGTTGCAAACTTCTGACTGAAATTATTATACCCTTTTGCTCTGAAAGGGTATAAAAACACTACATGTGAAATATAATATGAAATCAAGACTTTAAGAATGTTTTGGAGCTGGTGGATTTGAAATGAGAACACGCGCATTATGACATCCGATTTGTTTAAATCAGTTATGAAGTTATTAAGAAAATAAGATTTGTTACTCTTTTTTTTTAACTATTTATGTATGCATCCACACTTTGTTTAAGTTACTTGCAATCTTTCAATTGCTTTAATCAGCTTGATACTAGAAACGTTTATTCTAATACGTAGCTAAAACCCTGCTATTTAGCGGAACAGTTCCGGAAACTCTATTCTAAAACCGCCTACAGTTTTTAAACGCCACATATTAAAACAAAAGTACAATGCGAGGTTTTCTCCCTATAATTGCCAAATCAGTAATCGCGAACGATTTGGGAAATAAGGTTTTTCAAACATTTTTAAAACAAAGTACACGACATCGGCTTCCAAAAGTAAATTTCTGTTTTCGGTAAATTAACTTTGAAATGCATTAGGCCTAACAGGTTGTACTTCAATAAGAAAATATTTTATCGTCCAACTATAAGCTTGAATAATTAATGTGACAAAAAACACTCACCAAAAGATGCCGCAAACGCTTTCGAGATGAGATACTTTGGCTGCGACTGATCCTACCGCTTGAGCACATTAATGAAGGTTTCGTGCGGCACGCGGATGTTGGCAAACATACGCATCTTTTTCTTGCCCTCCGCCTGCTGCTTGAGCAACTTCATACGCCGGGTGACATCCCCGCCGTACAGCTTGGCTGTAACATCCTTGCGATACGCCTTGATAGTCTCCCGGGCGAGCACCTTGCTGCCCACACACGCTTGGATGGCGATCTGCACCATCTGCTTCGGTATGAGCTCGCGCAGCTTGAGAACCATTTGGCGGGCCACGCTTGTGGCCTTCGACACATGGACGATGCGGCACAGCTCGTCAACGGGCTTGCCGTTTAGGTGAATATCCAAACGTACCAAGTGCGACGGATGGTAGCCATGGTCCTCGTAGCTAAAACTAGCATACCCCGAACTCATTGACTTAAGGCGATCGTGGAAGTCCAGGATGATCTCGCTAAGCGGGAGGACATACTTCATAAGCACACGCGTTTCGTCGATGTTCACCGAGCTTTGCTGCAATCCGCGTCGTTCCACACACAGCCCAATCACCTGGCCCACATAGTCGGTGGGCGTGATGATCGTGCCCAAAACCAATGGTTCATAGTACTCCTTTATGCTGTGGGGCTCCGGGAAGAGGGCTGCATTGGATATGTCCATGGTGTCGCGTCCCTGCTGCCGGATCAGCTTTGCGTTGCTCAATACCAATCGATATGTTACCGAGGGCGCTGTTATTATGGGTTCAGCGCCATGTTCCTGCTCCAGGCGCTGACAGAACACCTCCATGTGCAGGAGACCCAGAAAGCCCAAACGCCAACCTTGACCCAATGCCGGACTAGAGTCTACTTTCACAGTGACGGCCGAGTCATTGAGTACCATCTTATCGATGGCACTGCGTAGGGCTACATGTTTTGACTGGTCTGCAGGAAAAACGCCGGCGAAAACTAGTGGCTGTTGCGGGCGATAGGTTCCTGCGGCGCTGGTAGCTTGGTTCTTTAGGTGTATCGTGTCGCCCACAATGGACTCCTTGCTGTTCCGCATGTTGCAGGAAATCAAGCCCACTTGACCGGCAGAGAGTTCTGGAACTGGACACTCCGCTGGCCTTAACACAGAGATACTCTTCACGGGATACACCTTCTTGGTCTCCAGCGACTGAATGTCCTGGTTTAGCTCCAGTTTGCCATTCAGCACATAAATAAGGTTAAGGGCCCCTCGGTACTTGTCAAACCAGCTGTCGAAAATCAGGGCCCGAAACTCGCTTTCTCTCTTAACTTGCGGCGGCGGTATGATATCGATGACACTTTCCAGTACCTTCGACACGCCAGTGCCCAACTTGGCGGACACGCGCAGCACTTGGTCAGGTTCGATGCCAAAAAGCAGCTTCATATCCTGGCACACCTGATCGGGCCTAGCGTGCCTAATGTCGATTTTGTTGAGCACAGGGACCACGGCCAGCTGGCGCTGTTTGGCCAGGTGGTAGTTGGCCACGGTCTGGGCCTGGACACCGTGGCAGGCGTCCACTAAGAGGACCACGCCGTCGCAGGCAGCCAGAGAGCGGGAGACCTGGAGAATTTACAGTATTAGCACGAGCAATCGGCTATCTGGTCTTAACCCACCTCATTGGAGAAGTCAACGTGACCGGGGGTGTCAATAAGGTTTAGCAGATACAGCTGGCCCTTGTGGCGATGAAATATAGAGGCGGTCTGGGCCTTGACAGTGATGCCGCGCTCCCTCTCTACCTGGAGGCTGTCCAGTACCTGGTGCTGCCCCGCGTTCCGAGCAATTGCTCCCGTAAGTTCCAGCAGCCGGTCGGCAAGTGTGCTCTTGCCATGATCGACGTGCGCAATGATACTGAAGTTACGGATGCGTTCCACCGGAATGCGGGCGAATTCCCGCAGCAGCTCCGCCTGCGAAGGTTCCCCTTCATTGGATAGGTGCTCCTCCGGTTTTGCGGCTTTGGCCTTGACCCGGTTCGTGGTGCCCAGGCAACGGTCAGAGCAGTCCCCGGACCTTGCCACCAGCCAAAGAGAGCATGGGTTGCCCGCCGCACGTTGGAGCAACCAGCGGGTGGAGATCGTCCGGATCATGACAGAATTAACATATTTTTACCGGCAAAAAAAAAAATTGTTACCGCACACCATGTGCGTGATGTGACCGTTCGATGAAAAAATACCGATAAAACATTTTCCCAAATCCAATCGCTAAATACCGTCAGTCTTGGGGTTAAAATAACAGCTCTTGATTATCATTCACGGAAATAGGTAAATAATTTGGCTTTTCAGTACATAATTTGTTGTATTTAATTGTCACTCTCGTATAAAAAGAACTGAAAGTTTGTTATTATTCACTGGCAGAGGGTATAATAATTTCAGTCAGAAGTTTGCAATGTAGTGAAGAAACACCTCAGACCCCATAAGTATATATATTCTTGATCAGCATAACGATCTGAATCGATATACGTCTGTACGTCTGTATGTTTCTCTTCAAAGGGATAGCTCCCATACGAGAGATTGAAAAAAAAAAAAGAAAGGAAGCTATTTTCGGCAAGCCGAAGCTTATATACCCTTGCAGATCTCAAATACGTCGAACAAAATGCATAAAGCCTAACAACATCGAAGCTATGACGATTTTTCTATTCATTTTCCATATTTTCGACTATCATATGGGAGCTATATGATATAGTTGTCCGATGTTGATCAAATTTAATTCGTAATTCAAGAATCGTAAGAAAACTCTATATTCCAAAAATCATACTTGTCTGCTGAAAAACAACGATGTTATAAATTTATTTTCGTTATTTCAATATAGAATTTTCGATCTTTCCTATGGCAGCTATAAAATATAGTTGTCCGATTTTTATGAAATTTTTTCCTCAATATAAGAGTTGTTTAAAAACTTGATATTCAAAAAATCATGCTCGTACGATAAAAAACAACGATGTTATCAATTTTTTTTTCATTAATTCTATATATATTTTTCGATCTCTCCTATGGCAGCTATATGATAGAGTTATCCGATTTTGATCAAATTTAATCCGAAATTTAATAGTAGTTAGAAAACGCCATCTTGAAGAATTCAAGTCGATCTGATTAAAAACAACGGAGTGAGATTTTTTTTTTTCAATCTCTCGTATGGGAGCTATCCGATATAGTCGGCCGATCCGGCTCGTTCCGACTTATATACTGCGTGCAATAACTACACAACTTTTGGGAAAGTTTCAGCAAGATAGCTTCAAAACTGAGAGACTAGTTTGGGCAGAAACGGACAGACGTACAGACGTATTTCGATTCAGAAGGTGATGCTGATCAAGAATATATATACTTTATGGGGTCTGAGGTGTCTCCTTCACTGCGTTGCAAACTTCTGGCCAAAATTATAGGTAATACCCTTTGCTCTGCAAAGGGTACTTCGTTGTTTTTGATCACATCGACTTGATTTCTTTCATATGGCGCTCAATATCGGATAAGTATTTCATATAGCTGCCATAGGAAAGATCGAGGAATCCATTTAGAATTAACGGACATAAAATGATAGCATAGTTGTTTTCCACCAAACAAGCATAATTTTTGGAATATAGAGTTTCTAATAATTCTGGAATTTCGAATTAAATTTCATGAAAATCGGACGACTATATCATATAGCTGTGATATGATCAATCGTCGAAAATATGAAGACTTAATAGAAAAATCGACATAGCTTCATGTTGTTTAGCCTTTACGTATTCTGTCCGACATTTTTGATGACTGCAAGGGTGTACAAGCTTAAACATAAGCATCCATACAATAAGAAATATACGGAATATTTTCAAAAATCTCAGACTCGTATCGAAAAGTTAACTAATTGGTAAGCGGTTAGGTTAAAATTTAAATCTTCGTTTAATTTTTTTTGCTCAGTCAAATAACAATGATGGTGAACAAACCACGAAGCAAAAATACTTTTATTCTCGTTACCTAAAACAGAAAATAAGTCTAAAAGTAGAAAGGTTTTCATTTGGTTACCTTGTATATATAAATCAACTACCGATGTATGTTTAAGAGGGCTTTAGAAAGACAGCCAAGTTTAAATTACAATTTTAATTAGAATTTTGAAAACCATTTCAGATTATTTGCCAGAGCAGCCACAAGGTGATTGCCAATTTGCCAATGTAAAAAACACAGTTGAACTCGACTTAAACCCCTCCGTAAAACCATAAAAACAAAATGCGTGAGACGCGCTGATTTACAAATTGTATAAAAAGCATATATATGTATTCATAGAGGATTATATTGGGTTAAAAAAGACTTCATATACATAATAAAAGAGATTTCTCATTTTGGTTTTGTTTTATACGTTCGAGGAGTGCACTTTTTAGCGGGCAGTCTGCCAAGCCGAGTGTATACAACTAACCACGGGATCCTGGAGCCGCCTAGGAAGGGATCACTGCTTGTTCAATCAGATCGTGCTTAGGAATCGGGCGGAACTGAAGGAGAACACCCCATGGTTGTTGAGTAAAATCGGAGCGGAAGGCTGCTACGCACATGTAAGTATAACCTAAATAATTCGCTCGCTTTGAAACTACACAGAAGGTAAACAGACAAAAATTAATCAACATGCAATATAAGTCGGGTTGGATTTGCTTAGCTTAAATGCAGAGTACAATAATAATCCATTGTTAATCGCTTCTAAATACATAGTAGGAATACAGTTGTTTTCATGTGTGTTTCGCTTGATAGGAGTGATATGATGTGAGTTCGCTGATGGTTTTGTTTTGTTTTTGATGGAGCAATTGCATTGCAGACGTTTTGCATACGCGGCAGGTGTATGTTGTATAAATTTAAAGGGTGTGTATACCTAAGTCCTACGAATATATATGTATATGGAGAATGCGAAATTAATACAGAATACTTAGCGCCCGTCGTTTTACAATTGAGAGTAGAATTAAAGCGCGATCGCAACTAAAATCTGCGTACAAAATATATGTTGTGTATATATATATATATACGACTTCTGTGTATAACTATAGATTGCCGCCTTCATTTAGGGCTTGTATATAATATATACCCGCCTACTTATTGCTGGGCCTGCATGCGCGCCTGCATCTGGGCGAGCATCTCCTGCATGCGCCGCAGCTCGGCCTCCTTTTCCTGCAAAATGCGGTCCTTCTCGCCGAGCACGCTGTTCGCCACCACCTGCGAGGTGCTATCCCGCTCGGCCTTCACGCCGTTCTCCTTGCCCTTAATGCCCTTGGCCAGTCGGTCGGAGCGGTAGTTCTCGTAATGCACCTCCTGCGTCACCTCCTGAAGGTCCTGCATGTGGGTGCTATAAAGGAGAAGAAATGAGGATCAGAGGTGGTTACACCTAAATACAAGATGTACTTGGAAATGCTAAGACTCTCTGACTGGATGCTTTTCGTATCCCAGTGTTGCTCTTTCGCCTGAACCACTTACATCAGCATAGTGCGCAGCTTGATGAAGTCGCAGTGGTCGGGATTTTCAACCTCGACCACGCCCCACGGGTAGAGGCGACCTCGAACCTTCTTGCCCTTGACCTCGAGCAGGGTGTTGGCGCCGCAGACGGCGAAAGGCACAGCTTCCTTCAGTTGCTTCACCTGCTCCTTATAGTCCTCATCCTCGTCGGAATCACAGTCTGGCAGTGGGTAAATCTTGATGCCGTGGCTCTCGATCTCTTGCATGATGCGGCACTTGAGTCGCAGAATCTCCTTTTTTGTTAAGCAATCTGCCTTGGCGATCACGGGCACAATATTAACTTTGGAGTGCAACTTCTTCATAAACTCCACGTCAAGGGGTTTTAGGCTGAAGTACAAGTAAAAAAAAAAACAAATAAATGTTAGTACGATCAATAGCAATGGCATAATAGATAATCCCTAAAAATGGGAGGATTTTAAAATTAATTTTTTTTTTTTTTTTTTAGTTTTATGGACCACTAAAATACCTGTAATATTTTATTATTGCAGTAATAAATAATGTTTAAATTGATGGAAAAGCAACGTACCCATGCCCAAAGGGCGAAATAAAGTAGAAACAGCAATGAATGCGATTGTCTACAATGTTGCGTCTATTGAGGCCACTTTCGTCGCGCAGGAAGCGCTCGTATTGCTCATCGATGTACTCGAGGATGGCTCCAAAGCTGTTGGAGTTGTCAATGGCATCGCCGAATCCGGGCGTGTCCACAACCGTCAGTCGCAGCTTAACGCCCCGCTCCTCAATTTCCACCGTCGAGGCCTCCAACTTCACCGTCTGCTTTTGTTTCTCTGAAAAATAAAAGAGGAAGGGTCACTCGGTGTGGTTGGGCAACAAAGCAGTGACTGGACAAGAACAGGGCTTACCTATGGCATCCGGGATGATGCGCTCCGGATAGAGATCCGTGAGAAAGAGGCTGTTGACCAGCGTAGACTTGCCCAGTCCGGACTCGCCCACCACCATTAGTGTGAACTCGAAGCCCTTCTTCACGGACTTGCGATGCACCTGGTTGGGCAAGTTGGCAAAGCCCACGTAGCCGGGGGTCTCAATGCTGGAAAACTAATGCAGAGTGGATACAAAAAAATTATGCGTTTAATTAATAATTTGAGGTTTCAAAAAAAGGTAAACAAAAACAAAAATTAATATTGCTTTGCAACCGTCATCTGATCTGATTCAGACTTGACAACAAACGAGACAAATAAAAAGAAGTGTTTACTATTGCAAAAAATTAGTTTAAAAACAATGACCTGTGGATGTTTAGTCCAGACTGTTCTGAGTGTATAAAATAAAAAACAATTATTTGTCTGAATACAAAAAAGCTTTTCTTGTAACAGATCGGACGCTAATATGTAACCAAAAATTTTGAATGTGGAACCAAATTGATCTTGTTTTTAACAATTAGATTGAAGATTGTTTAGTTATAGAGAAGAGTTGGAAAATTTAGTTATAAGGAATTAAGAAGCAACCAATTTGCTTTTAGTGATCTGTTTATGGTGAACTTGACACTTGGAGTTTTCGATCTTAGAAAGCGACTGTTTGACTCGATTTGCATGCCCATCACGCGCAGTGGAAATTTCTCTTGGGCTTCCCAAGCAGTCTGCACCCATTTCTCCTGCCGTTTCTACATAGCAATGTGCGGTATTATGTGGGTCAAAGGCGTCAGGAGAGAGGGAGAGCGAGAAGGATCCCGGAAACAAAGCAATAATGCGATGCCGCGGACATGTTGTGAATCACTTGATATTCACTCCCATCCCCGCCTTCCACCGACTCCAATCGAGCTTAAGAACGAGCGGGGAGGAGAACCGCCCGATAAGCAGGCTGAGACGGGGGACGAGTGACGAGGGAGCGGCAAACAAATCAACAGCGACGGCAGAGTCGGCATCGTCGCATCTCCGGTATGCAGATGCAGTCCACATAGACTAGGGAAAGAATCTCTCTCTATTTCACCGCGTCCGAACGGAACAAGAGTCGGCACTTGGACAAATAATCAGCGGTTACTCACGCCCTTTGTATCGGCCATTTTAAAATAAAACACGAAACGAACGAAGAAATCAACGTAATGACGAACAAAATAGCAGCGCAACTTAGTGTGACCGCGGTACAGATACGAAAATGTACCGCTTTGCTCTCAAAAAAATACCATTCTCAATTTAAAATATACCAAAGTTATACCAGTAAAAGAATTTTGCCATATTTTTACATTTAATAAATTTGTTTGCCTTAACGGAACTTTTTTTTTAATTAGTTACAAGAGTTAAGTCTCACAGTAAAAACTTTTCAATGGTATTGGCCAAATATCATTCCTAATACTTAACAGCAAGGCTATCGGTCTTAAATTTTTGAAATTTTATTTAAACAACGGAGGTTGTGGAATTAACCGGGAGTGAGTAAATACATAAATCAACGCTTAAACGCGCAATATATGACGATTTAAAGCTAAGCATTGATTGCAATTGCCAGCACTTCCGTATAAACAATGCAGCTTGGGACAGCATGTGGTGCCCAGATGCGTAGCCCTTAAATCGGCATTTCCGGCAGTTGACCGGGTTCTTGTAGCTCCGCGCACTGGCCGTTCTGTGCGCACTGTCGGCACATGTTTTCCTTGTAGCGGGACTGGGTTGAATCTGATGCTCCTGCGCGTACCCACGCACAAAGGCTCGGCAGTTGTAGGCCAAACAGCCAGTGTCTCTGCTCCACACATTCGCAAAGAAAATAGCGCGCAAACCAAGCGATCAACTGTAAGCGTCCACTCTACTTTTGAAATCGTGAAGTGTTTTGTTAAAAAACAATATAAAACATTAAAGTTGAATGTATGTACATATGTATGTTGTGTTTTTATAATTTGTATTAGTTTTGCATGCTATATGTGATTATAACAATGAATGTTTATCCACCGAAATTTTTCATGTTCTGCGAAGGTAAAAGTTTAAGATTAATTAATATTTAATAGGTGTTATTTCTGAAAATCGTCTGCGAATATCTGCAAATCCGTTCAGAGTCTGTTAAAGACGGCGAGTACCTCGTTCGTGTTTCATCAGAGGGGGAAAAAACTTTTATCTTTGCAGAACATGAAAAATAACGGTTGATAAGCATTTATTGTTATAACCACAAATAGCATGCAAAACTAATAACAAATATAAAAACAGAATCTACATACCTTCAACTTTGATGTTCACTTCACTTTCCGGTTTAAATGTGGTTTCATACAGTTTTCTAACTGAAACTCCAAGATTTCAAAAGTGATCGTATTGTTTGCGCGCTATTTTCTCCGCGAATGTGTGGAGCAAAACGAAGCTAATAATCGCTTGTTAGGCATTGTTTTATGGGTAAATAGAAGGAGAGGTGGAAGTCCCAGAGCAAGTAGAAGAGGCTCTCCTCGAGTATTCCAACCGGCGCCGGAAGTCCCTTGAAATCGTTGAATGCCAACAACTCGAGCTTTCCGCCACCGTACAATCGCCCTTCATCGGGAGTGTGGCGCCAACAGCTCGTGCTGTTCTCTGCTGTTGCCAAATTTGGAACACTTTCTTTCACGGATTCCTTTGCAAGTCTTAATCACGGATTTCAAAACATAAAAGATAGCTTTAAATTCGCCAGATCCCCCAGAAATATTGAACCAGACTTGGGAATACCCCACTAAGCATCCTTGAAAGGCATCTAACCACTAACTACATGGCGTGAAAGAATATAACTAAATGTTTCTCCTTCTACTTAGAACTGGATCCCCAGCAAACTTGTCAGCCTTTGGGTCCTGTCCTCGTCCTCCATAATCTTTCCAACCATCGAGGACTTTCGCTGCACTCCTCGTTAGGATCGTCCCATGCCGTAGAGGCAGTCATATTCCTTCAGTTTTTACTTGCTGGCAATTTTTATTGTAGCCAAGTCAAGCAGGATAGTTCCAGCAAGAGCCTGCGGCGGACGCGGCACTCCGTAAGGCAGATCCTAGGATCAGGCCATAATAAGTTGCCTCCTGGCCACTATTTTCCTATATTTTTGGTAACGTAAGAATTTTAAGATTAGGCTATCATTCCTTATATGACAAAAAATGTAAAAATCAATTATTATTTATTATAAACAAAAGTGTACAAACATATTCGCATTATTTATTTAAAATGACGAGGAAGACTTTGAGTTTATATACGATATATCTGAAAAAAAAATTATTACGCCGCTGTTTTTTATCATATTGACATGACTTTTACAAATTCCAGTTTTTAACTACCCTTAAATTAAAAAAAAATTTCATAAAAATCGTATAACTATATCATATAGCTAGCATAGGAAAAATCAAAACACCTATATAGTATAACCGAAAATGAAATTATAACACCGTTGTTTTCCACCAGACAAACATGATTTTTGGAATATATAGATTTCTAAAGACTCTTGAATTTCGAATCAAATTTCATATAGCTGTCATATGAATAATCGTCGAAAATATAGAAAATAAATAGAAATACCTCAGGGAAATAAGTATATGTACATTGATATTTTTAACAAAAAAACGATTTAAACAAAACAAATCAATCCAACTTTTATTGGGGTATGTAGTACTCCTATGTACAAATAAAAATAATAATAACAAACCTTTTATTTTCTTAAACTTATTAAAGAACTGAATTAATTAATAATAGTTCATAGGAAATAAGTATATATACATTTTCAGTAATTCCTATAATATCAATATCTATGTAAGTATTTTTTATCTTTTTAGTTATTTTAATAGTTTATATGCTTTCCTTTTGCTATTATAACTTTGTTAAGGCGATCCGGCATAGAATCCACCAATCCTTTAAGAATATTATCATTAATTTGATCCCATTCAACGACCAGAGCGTCTCTCAGTTGTTTGATGGTGTCAAATTGTCGGCCATTTTTATAAACTCTGGCCGAAAGGATGCCCCAGAGATCCTCAATAGGATTTAAGTCGGGGCTTATGGCTGGCCACTCTAAAAGTGGAATTTTTCTTGACGAAAAAAACTCCTTTGTGGTCCGTGTAGTGTGGATTGGTGCGTTGTCTTGCTGGAAAGTCCAATTATCCCCGTAAAGGTTTCCAGCGAACTCGATAAGGACATTGTCCAACAATTGAGTATATATCTCTGCATTTGTTCTTGTAGGAATAAAACAAATTGGAGACCTTCCCGCATACCCGAAAGCAGCCCAAACCATCAAGGAGCCTCCGCCATGGTTTCGCTTATGCCGGGTTTGCCTTGGTTGCCTTATGTCGCGCCAATACTTTTGACACCCATCTGGACCATCTAAATTAAACTTTTTTTCGTCCGAAAAAATTACTTTGCGAAATTCCTCTGTCCAAAATTTATATTTTTCCGCGAAGGATAATCGTGCGCTTAGATGGCGTGGTAGCAGCTTAGGTACAGGCACTCGGGAACTATATTTAAGGTTCTTATTTTCAACTAAAAGTTGATGGACCCGTCTCCTAGTGTCATTAAGATGTAAATGACGTTTGATCTCGTTGCACGACATTTGTTTGTTTACAGCTAGGTGCTCAATTTCGCGTTTGCACCTATTGTCGATGCTACTAGGTCTGCCAGAGCGTTTTATTTCACCATATTTTTTCGGGTTTTTAATAAAGTTTATAATGGTATGTCGGTGTCGAGAAACTCTAGAAGCTATTTTGGAAATTTTACATCCGTTTTCATTCATTGCTGTTATTATTCCGCGTTCTTCGGCTGACAAATGGTCTCCGCGTGGCATGCCATGGTAAAACCGTATTTATATTTACATTTTTCACACAAACACTAATCAACTTACATTTGTTGGTTTGCAAATAAGCTCTTCTCTTAAAAAAAAACAATTCCGGACTAATTTGCTGACCAAAAGACTTCCACTCTTCATTCAAACCACGCTAGTTTATTTTTGTACATATACTTATTTCCTATGAACTATTATTAATTAATTCAGTTCTTTAATAAGTTTAAGAAAATAAAAGGTTTGTTATTATTATTTTTATTTGCACATAGGAGTACTACATACCCCAATAAAAGTTGGATTGATTTGTTTTGTTTAAATCGTTTTTTTGTTAAAAATATCAATGTACATATACTTATTTCCCTGAGGTAGAAACATAGCTCCGATGTTGTTTAGCCTTTATCTAAGTATATTGTAAGAAATATTTGATGAACACAACATTTAGTAAAGTTTCACCGAGATAGTTTTAAAAATGAGAAACAAACAAGTTTACATAAAAACATACAGACGGTACATGGCTAGATCGGTTCAGCTGCTGATGCTGATCAAGAATGTCATATACATACTTCGTAAACTGGGCTGTAAACTTCTGGCTGATATTATCCCTGTAAATACTCTCTGCAAGGGTTTACCGAATTCCGTAAACAACAACACCATACCAAGATACTATGTTTGCAAAAAAACGACGTAACTGACGTAAGATTATAATACAATACAAATTACGTGAAAGCACAGTTTCGTAAACAACAACACCATACCAAGATACTATGTTTGTAAAAAAACGACGTAACTGACGTAAGATTACAATACAATACAAATTACGTGAAAGCACAGTTTCGTAAACAACAACACCATACCAAGATACTATGTTTGTAAAAAAACGACGTAACTGACGTAAGATTACAATACAATACAAATTACGTGAAAGCACAGTAACTAGAGTAACTAGCCCTAATCAATAAGATTAATCTTCTCAACGGAGCATCAGAGCATAGTTCGTTGAAAACAATGCGTAATCAAATTTTCGTTATAAACTTTCCCTAAGATCTTGGGAATTTATAACCTGCTGTCACTGGCTACACAGCAAAAAAACGCTGTTTATTATAGCAAAATTTGCTTTTGAAATTATTATACTAGTTTTTGGCTTTTATAACTTGTAGTCTTTATTTTTAAAACAATACACATATTAATATTGGATGTACTTAAATTCACAATACATATCTATATAATCCATAATCATCGGCGCTCAAATCAAAACTTAAATTATTTGATCTTCAGAGAATTGTGGCGGGGCCTCCGGATCTCAGTTTCCGGACTCCGCCGCATCCCAACCGATCTGCTCCGGGATTGAGAATGCGCGTTAGAACATAAACACACATATCATATCTGCACAGATCTATACACATATATATGGTTTCCTTTGTTTGTTGCTTGGTTTAAGCTTTTGGTTTTTTGCGGTGATGTGATACGTTTACAAAACATCGACTAGAGTACGGGTAGAAATGAGCGGAGACGCATGCAAATCAGGATACGTAAAAGAACACATCGAGAGAGGACACCGAAAGGAATATGTGTGCTGCTCGCTTCTTATTCCTCCGCGCCATTCTCGATGCCAATTCGCAATTCGATGCCTGCGTGGTGCCTAGGTGCCTCTGTGCCTAGGTGATCAGCCGCGGGGCGTGCAGTCCGTGCACATTCTCGATGGGCGGACAGTGGGTGGCACCGGGTGGACCCCAGTCGTGAAGGCCGCGCGAGTTGGCTAGCCGATGGGTCAGCCGGTGGGCGATGCTGAAGCCGCCACTGCCCTCCAGTTGGGTGAGCACGATGATCACTTGCCTGCACGGGTATACAAGCACAAATGAAAAATAACACATACATATTACAAAGACAAGGAGGGGATCCCACCTCTGCAGCGGCGGCACAGAGTCCACCGTCTTGAGTTCGCCCCGTGTAGAGACTACATTGTAGCTCTCCTGGCAGTCGCACTTCACGTGGATCCACTTGTTCTCGTGCCTGTTCTCCACCATCACAACCAGACCCGCCCAGCCCTGCAAGGGAAAGTCAACTGGTTAGGCGGCCACTCCCCAAAGATCACCCATCGTTCTCGGAGCACTTGCCTTGGTCAGGTAGTAGGCGGTCATGCCCTCGCGCCCTTCGTGCCGCTGACCCTTGGTCAGGGTCAGGCTGATAATGGCATCGGCCAGGAGGTGCGGCGAGGGACTGATCTGCTCCACCAGCAGCCGCTTGGAGCTGTGTATCGCCAGGATGCACTGCGGGTACTGGTGCGGATCCTCGATGCCCGTGTGCCAGTGGTTAAAGGCCAGGCACACGAGCAGGTAGATATCCCGCTCCAGCATCTTGTGACAGCCCACAAAGCCGCGTACCTGGAGTGGGGAAAAGTCAACGGGGAAAAGTAACGCTTGGCTGACTCCTTAATCTGCTATATGGGGAGCACCCACCTGCCGCTTGCTGTGCTCCACCAGACGACCAATTTCCGGCGCCGCCGGAGAGCGGGTGCGGAATATCACAACGCATAGGTCCAGCTGCGAGCGCTGAGACTTCTCCGAGTTGCGCTGCCCCTCCTGGAACAGCGTGAACTCCGCCTCCGTCGGCTCCAGCACGGTGAGCAGCACGCAGGAGATGGAGCACAGGGGCTGCAGGGTGCCCTGCAGCCGCACCTCGTTCCAGCCGGAGCGCACCTTGCAGATGTCTATGCAGTCGAAGTAGTTGAGCACGTCCTCGAACGAGATCCAGAAGACGCCCTCGCTGGCGCCGTGTGGCATCAGGGCGTCTCGCAGGTCGTCCGTCCACAGGCTGGAGTCGTCCGACCAATCGCCACGCCACGAGTAGTGGCCCCACGGATTGCGCAGCTTGAGCAGTCGATGCCCCTGGATGTCCTTCACGTCCAGCACCGAGTAGGCGTGACGCGGCCGCAGCCCCTTCTGCTGGTACTCATCCTCATCCACCTACGGTGAGGATATGGGATATACATAGGATATAGGATATGGGGTATGGAGAATGATTGCTCGATGAAAGCTGGAAACGCACCTTCATGTTGCCACCGCCACAGCTGGCGCCCATGAGGAATCGCACGCACCGCGAGCTCAGCAGCTGCGCCCAGATCAGGTCCTTGTCCAGCTCGTCCTCGCTGGGCATGGGCAGGCTGCTTGCCTGCAGCGGTATGCTCTCGCAGGGCGCCCCCGTCAACGTGGCCAGTCCCTCGATGGCCCGACCGGAGACCAGGGCCTCGTAGCAGCCGTGGATCTTGGCCACGGCCTTCTCGATCAGCGGCACCCAGAGCTGCTTGCGTTTGGCCTGCGAGTAGACCAGGTGGCCCCGCTTGTCGCAGGGCAACAGGTCGTCCACCAGCACCGTCGTCCACTTGCCATCCTTGCACAGGCGCACCTGGTACGCGCCCTGGCCACAAATCTCCTTCGTGACCAGCACCTCCTTGACCAGGTCCTCGCGCTCCGCCAGCACGGCCAGTGCACTTAGCAGCCAGCAATTGCCGAGGACTCCCTGGCAAATGTCCGACGGCAGCGGAGTGCGAAACACAGCCCACGGCGGGTACGCGCCGCCGTCGCAGTTGATGTCGTGGGGTCGTCGCCACTGCACCACGGGATTGCCCTCGGCTGCTCCGCCCGCCGGATTGTAGTACAGACTCTTGGGAGCCGGCGGAAACGAGTCGTCCACGAAGAGCTCGCTATTGTCGCGGCAGTACTGGATGATGTTCTGCCACTTGGTCAGGGCTTCGGTCTCCTCCAGCTGGCGCAGGTTCTCCATCAGCTTGCTCTCCTGCCGTATGTCCGCCGGAGTGAGGGCCACCCGAATGGACTTCCTGGCCAGAGCCTCGCCCAGCACAGCGCTCGCCAGGCCGCGCGGACTCGAGCAGATCTCGCACACCACGGAAGCGGCACAGTTGTCGTACGTGCACGCCGGGCACTGCCACTTCTTCGCGCTGGAACCGACCCCGGCACCCGGTGCGGCCACCACCGACGCGGAACCCACGCCTTGGCCCTGGTGCAGGTTGTAGCTGGCCAGACCGGCGATGGAGATGTTCCTGGGCACAATGGAGCCGCCGGTGCTATGTCGCTTGGGGATGGCGCCCGAGGAGCTGGAACTCCTTTGCTGGGGCTGCTGTAGCGACGGCAGAGGCTGCATTCTGGGCGAGGGGCTCCGCGAGCCACGCAAACCGGCCGCCGTTGCCGTTGGAATCTGCAGCAGCGGCATGGGCAACGCCACCGCCGCCAGCGGGAGATTTAGAGCTGTGGGTGCTTTGACCTCGCCGCCGCTTGTATGATGGACCCCAGCGCCGCTGCCGCTGCCGCCTCCCGTCCCGGTGGCCGCCGCATCCTGCTCCTCGTGCGACTGGCCATCTGGTCGCTCCCGCACCGCGTCCATGGCCATCGAGAGCAACGGCTGGCGGTGCGACTTGCAGGCACTGCACACCGGCGAGTGGAGCGAGTTCTTAAGCGTACAGTGGCTGCAGGTCCAGAACTCGCCCTTGCGCAGCGTCATGTCCTCGATGGAGGAGATGCTCTTTAGCTTGGATCCGCCGCAGACCACACAGGCCATGGCCGTCGAGTAGTTCACCAGGGTGCACTTCTTGCAGGTCCAGGGCTCGTCGCGCAGGGTCTCTGTCAACGGAGATTGGGTTTTCATATGGCGGTGTTTGATGATAAGCAGTTTGCACTACCTTTTTCCTGGACAAGGGATGACACACCTACATGCTGCTGCTGTTGATGTTGCTGCTGCTGTTGCTGTTGCTGCTGCTCCAGCCTGGCCTCGCACATCTCGCACGTCTGCAGCCAGAGTCGGTTGTAGGCATAGGAACATTTGATGCATGTCCACATCTTGCTGCGGCTGCCGTTGCTGTTGCTGTTGCCCAGCTGGGCCTTGTTATCGTGGCGCGTGGCAGCAACTGCTCCGGCTGCTGCAACTATCGCTCCGACTCCCGCCGCCGTCGCTGCTGTTGCTGTTGCGGATGTGGCTACTGCTAGGCGGCTGCCGCTCCCTGGATCATGCGAACTGCAAATCGAAAGACGACACAATCAATTATATGGCAATCAAGTGAAAAATGCATTCGAGGGGGGGAATAACAAACTCAAAAACATATTTCTTTGCGCACTGGCCACAGGTTGTCATAGCCAACAAGACCACATTCATTTGATTATTTAATTATTCCAATAATAATCACGCATCGATTAAAATAGTTTCTATGAGATGTTTTGGCAATTGTTACGACAACCTTTGGTGAGTCCGCCATAAGTGTAAATTATACAAAAATAGGTTAGAATTTAGCCTAAATAAATAAAATAGAAATTATAACAAAACGAAACAATAAGCTGGTTCCCGGGAAAGAAGCTAACAGAATGACCGAGTGAGTAAGCGCCACAGAAATTATCGGCAAGCAAATAAACATTTTGAACTGATAAGCAGGAACCAAGTTTTTTTTTTTTTACGGGATAGGAAGTTGGACGGGTGAGGGTATTTCTCGCTGGCCCGCTCGCCGACATTTACATTTTGGATTCGGTCGCCTTGCGTGGTCCCTTCCACACCTTGGCGTAGATGGAATGCTCGTCCACCTGCGACTCGGACTCGCTGGCCTCGCCGCTTCCGTCGGTGCTTGTGCCGAGTCCCGCGAGGGGTTCACTAACCACATCCGTGGCCTCTCCGCTGCCATTGTTGTTCGCTTGCGATTCGTTGGCAATCTGCTGCTGCTTCTTCTTCAGCTTGTGCTGTCTGTTTACCTGCGCGTAAATGGGCATGGTGGCTTGTGGCGGTGGCTGTGACTGTGGCTGTGGCATTGTCTCCGCCGCCGACGCCTTTCCAGAGGGCGAGCTGGAGATAGCCACCGCCGTGGCGGCAGCCTGTGCCGCCTGAGCAGCAGCTGCTCTCAATTGCTGCTGGGCCAGGGCCACGCACTCGTTCTCGTACAACTTGTTGTTGCTGCCGGAGCTGCAGTTGTTGTTGATGCTGTTGCTGATGCTGTTGTTGTTGCTGTTGCTGTTGGTGTTGCTGTTGGTGTTGCTGTTGGTGCTGCTGTTGGTGTGATGATGGTGGTGATGGTTGGAACTGGAGGAGCCGTAGGAGCTGTTGGCCACTGGCTCCGACCACTCGTTGACGGCTATGAAGACGCCGTTCCGCGGAATGGTGAACTGCGTTGGATTCATACTCACTGCTGCTGGCTCCCGCTGGCTCTTCCGCTGCAGCTGCTGGGCGTTCGTTGCCGACTTCTGCTGCTCCTGCTGGAGATTCTGATTCAAGTTCAGATTAAGGGGCTGGCGCAGCGGCTTCATCTGGCTCTGGCCGGAGTCCTTCGCTGCCGATCGCGAGAGCGTGGTAATGGTGAAATTATACTTTCGCTTGGCCCCGCTCTCGCGCACCACCTTGTGGTTCTGGTTTTTGTTGTTGTTGTTCTGCTTACGCCGGCAAAATGTGTCGTTAGCGATGGCGAAACGGGAATTGCTGCAGGAGGCCACGGGGGAATCCCTGCGAGAAACACAATGGGATTAGAGCCATACTTCTTTCACTGATTCAAACTCTTAACAATAATGATAATTTCTTTATTTTGGAAACTCAGTTTAACTTTACCTTACACATTACCATCATTATTTTCTGGACGATAAAGATCCATATATAATGTTTTATCGTTTCGTTGGCTAAATAAAAACATGTGTAACCACCTCAAAGCAACTCACTAATTTTATATTATTTCACTTCCAAGCCTAAAAACGTTTCAAAATGGATTTCTCAAGATTGACCGGTAATATCCCAAAGGCTCTAATCGAAATCTTTTTTTATTTCTTATTTAGCTACGAATTTTATCTACTAATCCTCATCCCGTACTATTATTTAAACATATGTACCGTTATCTATTGTCGTTTTTAGGTTACCGTTTTGTGATATTCTTGTAATTCTTCTTCTTATATTCTTCAAATTCAATATAACTGTCGTCGTTACTATACACCGAAAATAAAATGGCCTATAAATTAAATTTTGTATTAGGTTACCTGTGACATGTTATTACATTAATTGAATGAGAGTCGTACCAGAATCCTTAGCGTTACCATGCACACGCAGCCAAAACAAGTTGCGAATTTTAGAGCCGCGAGCGCGGTAAGCTTCAGAAACCAAGAAAGCCATAATATCAGAGGTTCGGTGCATAATGTTTTTATGAATAACCCCTTATTTCTGATGTGGTGGAATGATTTTGAAGACAACTACACAACGCACCTGTCAACTGGGGCGCCGGCTTGACCTGCGGCAAATTGAAAATGTCTTTGCTCTGGTTGTTCGCATAGCAAATGTGGCAGCTGCGCCCCGAGGCGCTCTTGTCGATGGCGGTACTCAGGCTCTGGGTGCGCCGCAGTCCGGATCCCGACACAGATCTACCTTTGAGGTGTCTCTTGTGCGAGTGCTGGGAATGTAACTGATGCTGGTGGTGGTGCTGCTCCTCCAGCTCCTGATGGAGGTAGTGGTGATGGTGGTGTTGGTGGTCCGCTGCCAGCAGCTCGCCGCGATTGCCCAGACTGCCAGCCAGCTCCTGGCCGCGATCGGCGGCCACAGCGTCCTTATAGATGGGCGCCAGATAGCTGACCGTGTCGCAGATGAGGCAGTGCCAAGTGACCGAGTTGTTGTCCGTGGTGCAGGCGTGACACACCCACCGGCGGTTCAGGGCCGGATTGGAGAAATGGCGGTACAGCTCGATGGAGCTCTTGATGTACTTGCGCGTGTCCTCGCAGTCCACGCAATTGGCGGGCAGGTTCTGGCTGTTCCGCTGAGGTCTTTTCAAGCATCCGCGCAGCAGGGACTTGTACACATGCTTGTACTCGTTCCTGCAAAATAGGTAAATGGGGTTTTTCGTCGGGTTTCGGATGGGATTTGTGGGGGCTTCCCGACTTTCTGACCGCAAAGGTTATCTCAATGACTGGCTATTTTCATACTCTCCGCTCGTCCGTTCGCCTCGGGAGTTCTTCTGCTCTTCCGCTCGTCGAGCGAGTTCGCGAATCGATAAACTTGTAAACAATGCTTTTTTATCCAAATCGATTTTCCCCAATTCTCGCAGCTCCGCTGTTTTGTTGTTGCTTTTGCCGCTTCTGTGTATACATGCTCTCTCTCACACACACACACACATACGCTCAGGGACAATCACCAGTGCTGACCTCTTAGTCTATGCAATAAGGCGTTTTATAAACGACTAGAACTTTAAATTCAGTGCCCTTAAAATGTAGCTATTATTTGAGGACATATTTAGCGTGGTTACTCAAAGCCATCATTTGAAATCACAGTGGGACAAAACTTGATGGTTTTATGTACGGTGTTAACAGATCTAATTTGCATTTTCTATTTCGTCTTCGAAGACTCAGAAACGTAAAAAAAAAAGAAAACCAAATTTCTAAAACAACTGTATTGAGCATTGCAATATTTAAGCCACTAGAACCGTTGTCTCAGCGCAAGTATAACGATTTCAACAGGAATACAACTGCGCAGTGATAAAAACACTTTTTAGAAAATCCGATTTAGTACTGCTTGCATGTGGTGAAGTCGCTTATCTTTGGTAAATCTCTGCATGTTTAATTTTCTGGATGTTAAAATAGTTTTGCCTAGCATTTTCCGTCCCCCAATGTCAACACTGGCCCTCAACGCACAGGGACATACACACAAGAAGGCACACATACTCTTAAAACAGGCACAGGCTGTTTGTTTTTGTGGCGACCGCTCCGCTTACCTGGCAACCGCCGCCCTGCCCTTCTCCTTATCCTTTTCCTTCTCCTTGTCCTGCTCCTTCTCCGCCTGCTCCAGTGCATCATCAGCTGTCCAGGAGGCGGTGACCCTTCGCTGCGGCGTCGCCTGCTGGTGGTGCAGTTGTTGCTGTTGTTGGGGGAACACCTTGCGGACGGTGCCACAATTAAAACACTTGAGCGATTCCGTGGGATTGATTGTGTTGCACTTGGTACACGACCACTGCAGCACGGATGAGATGGTGCCCATTCTAAGATTCCAGAATTAAGTTCTGAGTTGCAAGCTACTCGTTTTGTTGTTGTTGTTTTGAGCTGGCTGGTGGGGGAGTGGAACTGGAACTGACAATGGCAATGGCGTTGGAAACGGAAGTGGAAGTGGTGCGTTGGTGTGCTGGTGACCGGGCGGAGATGGAGATTAATAGGAAGACCAAGACCCGGGACCAAAACGAGGACCAAGCGATGGCTTCCAACAGTTTCACGCCGCGTTCTCCGTCGCCGTTTCACACCATTTTTTAACTGTTGCCGCCAGGGCTGTCGAAGTGCGCAGACACCTGCCCGGCAGGGTTGTCAAGGCCAGGAAGCTTTTTTACCCCGCATTGCCAGTGTTGTTAAACTGCACGTCCGAAAATGTAATTTTCATCACATAGCTTTAAAAAACATACATAAATACATATGTACGTACATGATAGGATATTTGAAAATAGGTAGAGGAGTGATTCTCGGAGCCAAAAAGTTTTAAAGAAAAGTTATGTCTCTAGAGTTTTAGGCTCTTTGAAGACAACCACACCATGTAAAACTGAACTTGTGTGAATCCGAATTTATTATTAATTACTATTATGTCATTGTTTTTTATTCGTTTATAACCAATTATAACAATATGATAGCAATAATTGCTGCAAACTTGACATTTTTTAAGTGGATGACTGAAAATTCTGTTGAAATAGATAGCCATATTTCAGAAATTTAATGTGAGTCTAGTTCATTTTTGTAAATTGATATTGAAAATTTATCGTAATAAAACTTGCAATAAAAGTTTAATTGTTTTGGTATTGCATTACATGGACGAAACCCCGCTCTTCAAGTAAAACTTTTCAATTAGACGTTACATTTATTTCGTAGTCTAGTGAAAATATACCACAATTTCAGTATTTGTCTTCAATATAATTTTCAAGTTCAAAGAATACCCTTACTGTTTTTTTTTTCCGTAGAATAGAAGTACATCGATATGTTGCCACTATGAAAAACATCGATAAGACGGCTGTAAATCGGTTCTGGCTATCAGCTCTAACAGAACCGCGTGCAACTTTCAATCGGGGCCTAATCTAGTTTATTTTGAACAGTAAATAAAAGGAATGCAGCGTCAGAAGCCTAAGGGACCGTTCAAGCCGGGTTTACGATCGAAATCAGGATCGGGCAAGGGCAAGGGGTCTTCTGGTGGGCGGGGAGGCGGCGACAATAAGCAGAAACGTCCTCGGCAGGAGTTCAACAAGTCCCGATTGGCCGCCACCGATGCTGAGATCAAGGAACTGCAGGCCAAGTACGCTGAGATAGATGCTTCTTCCGTCAAAAAGTTCGCACAGTTTCCGCTGTCCAAGAAGACCCAAAAGGCGCTAGCGGAATCCAAGTTCGTGCATCCCACGCAGGTGCAGCGGGAGAGCATTGGACCCGCGTTGCAGGGCAAGGACGTTCTTGGTGCGGCGGTCACAGGAAGTGGCAAGACCCTGGCCTTCCTCATACCGGTCAGTAAGGAGATGGTTTGATTCTACTGGGAAATAAAACTTCTATCTCTTGTAGGTTCTGGAGCATTTGTTCATGAACAAATGGTCGCGTACCGATGGCGTTGGTGCCATCATCATCTCGCCCACCCGCGAGCTGGCCTATCAGATCTTCGAGACCCTGAAAAAGGTGGGCAAGCACCATGACTTCTCCGCCGGTCTCATCATCGGCGGCAAGAACCTGAAGTTTGAGCGGACCCGCATGGACCAGTGCAACATACTGATTTGCACACCAGGTCGCCTGCTACAGCACATGGACGAGAACCCGCTTTTCAATACGAGCACCATGGAGGTTTTGGTCCTAGACGAAGCCGATCGCTGTTTGGACATGGGCTTCCAGAAGACGCTCAACTCCATCATTGAGAACTTTCCACCGGTGAGACAAACGCTGCTCTTTTCGGCCACGCAAACGAACACGGTGCAGGACTTGGCGAGGCTCAATCTGAAAGACCCAGTCTATGTGGGGTACGGAGGAGAAAAGCCAGGCGAAGAAGCCTCCAGTGGCAAGAAGGAACCGAGCACTGCCGTCTTGGCCGTGCCTGAGCTCCTTCAGCAAAGCTATGTGGTGCTGAATCTTGAGGACAAGATTACGATGCTGTGGTCGTTCATCAAAAACCATCTGAAGCAGAAGATCATTGTGTTCGTGTCCAGTTGCAAGCAGGCGAAGTATCTGTACGAGATCTTCTGCAAGCTGCGACCGGGTAGCCCGCTTCTAGCTCTTTACGGAACTCTCCATCAGGATCGTCGCATCGCCATATACGAGGACTTTCTGCGCAAGAGCCATGTGGTCATGTTCTCCACGGATGTTGCATCTCGCGGTCTGGACTTTCCCGCCGTCAATTGGGTGGTGCAGCTGGACTGTCCGGAGGATGTCTCGCAGTATATCCACCGAGCGGGTCGCTCTGCGCGAAATAAGACGCGCGGGGAGTGTCTTCTGGTGCTGACACCTAGCGAGGAGGAGTACATGATTGGTGCGCTTAAGGAGCAGCTGGGTCTGGACATCCGTTGTGTCCAGATCGACCCCAAGAAGCTTTTCTCGCCGCGCGTGAAGATTGAGGCTTTTCTGGCCCAATTTCCCGAGCTAAGAGCCACCGCCCAGCGTGCCTTTTTGTCCTACATAAAATCCGTATTCCTGATGCGCAACAAGCGCCTGTTTAACGTCTTTAGCCTGGATCTAGATGCATTCGCTCAGTCACTGGGCCTAGCGGTCACCCCGCGCGTTCCCTTCCTCGAAAAGTTCCTTTGGAGGCAGAAGCAGCTGCAGCAGCAAAAGGAACAGAGCGATGTCCCATCAGGTGTCGATCCCCTGCTCACCAAAATAACCAAGCAACAAAGCTTTGGCGCCGCTAGCGAAGATGATGATGGCAGCAGTGACGAGGACTTTATCAAGGTGAAACGAAAGGATCACGATGTCGAAGGAGAGCCTGTAGAACTGGACGAGGTAGAAGGCACAGAGGACGAGCCCGAGGTTCCGTTAGTGGTGCCCAAGCGGGAGAAGCTGGTCACGAAGGCTTCGCTGGCCAAGAAGGCGCTAAAAAAGAACCTGCAGGTCAACTCCAAGCTCAAGTTCGATGAAGAGGGCGAAACCGTAGCAGATGGTCGCAGCCAAATGAAGGCTCTAAGTGCCAGGCAGCGAGCAGAAAACCATGATGACGATGACGGAGGGATCAACCTGATGTTGTCGAAGGCACTGCTTACCGAGGAGGATCAGTACGATAAGCAGCGATTCCGGGAGCTGGTGAAAAAACGTCACAAGCTGCAACGGGAGAAGCTGCGGAAGAAGGCGGAGGAGGCCAAGGGAAGCGACGAGGAGGAGGAGGAGGAGGAAGACAAGGAGCAAGAAGCTGACGATGACGGTAGCGAGAGTGACCACTCAGTGGATCTCTCATGGTTGCCAGATCCCGACAAGATCTACAAAAACAAGACCACTGCATCAAATCGGGATGCAGGGGCGCAATCTGAGTCAGAGTCGGCCGATTCAGACGAGGCACAAAATAGGGATGAAGATGACGAGGACGAGGACGACTCCGATGAGGAGCCGGCATACAAAAAGTCTAAGCTAACTAATAAGATGACTCTAATGGACACGGAGGCGATTGCAGCCAGTCTTTTGGGCAGCTGAGCAATTAGAGGATCCACTGTGTAAATAAATGAATGCCAATTAAATATAAAATAATTTATAATTAAAAATACATTTGTGTTATCTGCATTTATTTGTGCTTATCAAAAGCAACTTACATATTTGTGTTTTATTTAGCGCTGAGTACAGATTTTATGAGCTGGAATAACCATACACAATCTTTAACTTATAAATTTAGTTGACTAATATAAAGATTAAACCTTAGACACCATTTAAAATCCCTATTAAATTAATAAAAAAAAAAAAAGTAGTTATAGATTTCCTCGATAAAAATGAAACATTATAAATCTGTTAAAAAGATTTGTTAAAGACAATAAAAAACTATCAAAAATTCTTGAACCTTACTTTTTTATATGATATTCCTGTTATGGCTTCTTAATAAAGATCATAAAATATTCATACTCTTTTTTTAGGTTAAAAATTCGAAACGATTTAAGTAGCATAGGGCTTATTTAATTTTGAAATAATTTCTGTAAGTTTGCAACGCAGTGAAGAAGATATATCCCACCCTTTAAAGTGTATAGCATTTTAATAAGCATCGCCATCTAAGTTGACCTACACGTCGCTAAAACTTTTCTCTAATTTTATACAGATTGTTCGAATTTTCCATCGTAGCTACATATATAATGTATTTTCCGGTTTTCATGAAATCCGATTAAGTCGTTCCGTCCCGACTTATATACTCCATGTGATAACTAAACAATTTTTGGTAGTGTTAGCAGGATGCCTTAAAATTTTTTAAATTGAGAGACAAGATTTCATGGAAGCAGACAGACGTACATGTCTTGATCGAATCAAAAGATGCTGATCATGTTTCAGAGTCTGAAATGTCTTATTCACTGCGTTGCAAACTTCTCTGCTTGAAATTGTAATACCCTCTGCAAGGGTATAAAAGATATGGCAAATTGTTCAAACCTCGATTTATGCATTTAGGTCAACTGCAAGCAATTTATATAATAATATAAAATCAGCTGAATCATATAGCTGATAAAGAAGATATGTGAAAATTAATGGAAAATTAGACATATCTAGATATGTAGTACTTAGTGCACCTAATTGCTGACGTGGAATCATTGTACCATAAATTTGTGATGAGTCTAGCCTTGTATTCACTGAAGTTCTAGGTCCAAGAAATTAAAAAATATGGGGTCGCAGAAGCTTGCTCTCCGAAGCTGTCCTTTGCTGAAATTGAGACATAGTCTTCAATGCAACTCATAAGGAATGAACCTGTTTAAAAACATGCATGAAGTTTAAAATAAAATCAAAGAAAATATTTTATTCATACCATGAATGAGAAATAACTTAGTTAGATAAGGTTAAATAAAATTAGCACATAGAAATTAAGGCTTCCCTGAACACCCCCAGTAAAAAGTCGATTTCCAAATGCTTCACAAATATTTGGAAAATGCCCACAAATTTATTTTGTTTTGTTTGATTTGATTTCATTGTTTGTTCTCTCCCATTTTGGTTGCAGCGCCTCCACATCGCAGCCTGCCCTTTGGATGGAGCCCAGTAGCAGTGGACGCCATATGACATGGTTCCGGGATCCAGGATCCAAGATCCGGATTTCGAGATCCGGCGCGTGAAGTGAGAGGTGAACCGGGGCGAGCGGGACGGGACGGGGTAGTCGCTAAATTTCGCGTGGGAAGAGGGATTTTTTGGGGACCCTCTTTTCGTTTAAAAGGGGGCGTGGCTGCTTGGCATGGGCGTGGCATAAAATTTGCTTTTAAAAATATCATTACACATCACGTCAATTACAATTTTTTTGTTCGTTTTCTTTTGCATTTTTCGTTTCGTTAGACATATTTGCTGTTTTTCTCAGTTTAGCGTATATAAATAAATGCATACACATATATACGGTAATATATAGACGGTATATATATGTAATGCAATAGACACACATCTATACAAATTATACTATATAATGGTTAAGGTTTCCTTTTCTTTTTCTCTCGTTTTTGTTTTTGTTTTTTGTTTTATTTTGAGTGCTTATTTTTTGTTTGGCAACAGATCTCGCGTTAATTTCTTCCTTTAAGTTTGAGGTCCGTTTCAGACACAAGATACACAATTACATAATTAAGTTTCGGGTTTTATATAAAAAATTAATGCTCAATTACAAGGAATAACACTTAGGCGTATGTTGTCTATAATCTGTTCGTTCTTTTTTCTTGTTGCCTCTGCCTGTCATCATTATTTTCTCCTGCTTACCTTTCATGAATATCTGCTCCTCGTTTTTAGTTTAAAATATGCGTACATTGGTAGAAATTGTATAATTTGTTGTTTCGCTAATTTAATACAGTACAGTACACACACAATTTGTTTTTAGAGACAGATAGAGAAAGAGAGAGTATTACAATAAGGATTATATGCCTGGCTTATGCAAATATCAATTAGACAATCAGTGGAGATTCGAGTTTGGGGGAAACTTGAGTTTTATTTTCTTTGCTTTTGTGGGAGATTTCCTTTGCCGTTTCGTAGTAATTATCATTTTTCGCTTATATGGTAGCTATATAATTATATAGTGTATATCTATTTGGATGACAAACACACATATACAGACATACACACTGAGATGCACATTTAGTTTAGCTCGAAAATTAGATTTTGCTCGGTTGTTCTTATTGAGTTTTTATGTGTTTGTTTATCTTCCTTTCGGTTTCGGTTTCGGTTGTCCTTCCTCCCAAAACCTCCTCGTTCTCCTCCTTCCTTCTCAACTTTCTCCTATACTAGACACACAGACATTTAGTGGTATTTAAACAAATATTATATATCTAGCATTTTATCGCTATTGTTTATATGGAAATTTGTTTGCTGATCGCGCATTATTTTAAACATACAGTTACAATTACATTTATAACATACACAGATACACAGTAAATTTTATTTAACCATCTTCATCCTAGATCTTCATCCCCATGCTCTTTCATCTAAATCTTGTGGTTTTTGTGCGTTGTCGCTGGTGCCCCCCGCCCCGCCCCGCCCCTTTCGACAGGATGGGCGCGTTTGGGGGTTGGGTGGCAAAGGAGGCTGAGGCGGAGTCGATGGGGCCGAGGGCCGGGGCCGGGGGCTGGAGAGGGGAGGTCTCACTCAATGGATTCAACGGCAAAGGACGCACCACACAGAGAAAATACTTGACGCGTTTACATATATCACGGAAACACAACAAAGCCATCGATACAAAATATATATTGTATATATAAAAAATAAATATACCCTACTTAGCCAAGTTCTGTTGTCTCGCTCGCTCGCTTGCTCGCACACACAATCACAAATCACACACCACACACCACACCACACACTGCACACAATAGACCCACGTACATTATATACTACTATAAATATGTATATGCCTGGCTGCTGATCCTCATTTGAATGAATCGATCGATCGATGGGCTGCCTCCTGCTAACGCCTCTTCTCTCCTGCTCTCCTTCTCTGATTCCTCCTCTTCCTTCCTATGGCTACTACTAACATGCTCTTAGTTCACCCAAAAACACAAAGCACACATGGCACTCATGGCGCCCACATTCACACACAAACACAAACGCACATTGAATCTAACTATCTCGTTTTGGCTTCGCGTCCGGCGGTCAAGTAGAAGTCCAAGTGTGCCACGGCCTGGTGGGGATCTAGGCCTAGACCATGACGAAGGCGTCCTTGCCGCAGAACAGATATGGGAACTGGTCGATCATGGTCTGGACAATGTCCTCCAGATACGGACGCAGCTGCTCGAAGTGGCTCATGTCGGTGAAGTCGATGGGGATGAGTGTGGGCCACCAGCAGATGGCCAGGTTCTTGCTGTCCATGCTGTTCAGCTTCGAGTTGTCCGAGACGCTGCAGGGAGTGGGAGTACACATTGGGTCAGTATCGACAAGTCAGAATGGTTGCATTGCGTGCACTTACTGCACAAAGTGCTGGAATATGTATTTGAGTATGGCAAAGTTGGTGGGCGGCAGCTTCTGGAGCAGCGACTTTAAAGCTATCAAGCGGCAACTTCGGTCAGTTTTGACCTCCACATTCAGCTTGGAGTTGCCCACGCCCCGGGATCCTGCAAAGAACAGAAGCGAAAAAGAGTTAGCTATGCCCGAATTGATTCGAACGAGTACTGGCTGCTACATACCGGCAATCTCCTCCAGCTCCTTGATGATGTCCTTGCTGAACAGCGGCGGCAGGCGCTTGGAGAAGAAGTCCTTGAGGGCCGTGGCCACTGCGTTGACGGGAATATCCAGTGCATCAATTTCAGTGTTGGTATCTGCACAAACGAAGGGTTCAAGGGGTTAACAATCTATGTGATCTATGCATATCCTTACCCTCTTCAAATCGCTGGAAGAGCATGTCGACGTGCGCCCTGCTGCCGGGCACCCGGTAAATGCCCTCGGAGTCCAGGCCCTCCTTCTCGATGAACTCGACGCACTTGTTGAGGAAGATGGGGATCTCGCCCTGCTCGGAGCTGATCATCAGCTTGCCGAACTGCGCCTCCGCAGACTCGACCAGGCCCTTGGCGTTCTGCTTGAGTTTCCGCTTGAGCTTCTTCTCCTGCTCCTTCTCCTTCTCCTGGAGCTTGCGCAGCTTGGCTGCCTCCTCCTTGATGCGGCGCTTCTCCAGCTTCTCAAAGTCCTTCAAGCACTTGGGGTTCATGTTGTACTCCGGCAAGTTCTCCCCGCCGAAGATGACGGCAGCCGCCAGCTCTGGCACCATGGAGTACTGCAAGGCGTGGGGGAATATCAGTCATGTCAGTTCGTAATGCAACTTTAGTAGGAGTAGGAGTAGTTGGTCCGGGCACCACTCACCTCAGGCGACTTGTCGCTCTTCATGAACTCGGGAACGCCTGGCTCGGGTTTTTCTACATAAAAGATGAAGGACAAGTCAAGCAATTAGCCGGGGAATCCCGATTGAATGGTTGCATATTACGGTCAAGTGCCAAATTAAGTAAAAGTGGTGCATAATGCAGGGTGGGCTGAGCCCCACTTAGCCCATATACAAGTGTAGAGGAGCACACAGAACACGACACATACTTTTCTCACCTGGCCCGCCGCCGCCAACGCCCATGCGTTGGTAGTGGAGGGGAATCTCCGGCGGACTCACGTAGGAGCCGAACGGGGGAACCCGCGGCGTCTGGACCGGAATGGCCACCTTCTTCTTCTTCTGCTTCTTGGCCGCCACCGGCTTCTTGCTGGCCTTGTAGTAGGCGTTCTGCTGGCGCACGCGGCGCTCCGTGGAACTGGCGCAGCTATCCGACTCGGTGCAGTCTGCGGACGAAACGGGGAATCAGTATGGGCAGGGGATCCGCTTGGCTAAAGGACTATAGTGCTGGTGCGGGCTGAACGGGAATGAA